CAGGAGGGGCCTTCGTGCCCGCCTGCCGCCCCGCGGACGCCCGGTAGCGGGGACGCCCCTCACCGAATGGCCTCGCCGTCCGCGCCGGGCTCCGCGACTCGCCGCCCGCTGTTCCTCAGCACCATGGCGCAGCTCGCAGACTCCTCTACCTCCCGGACGAACTTGGCGCGCTCTCCCCGGTCTCGCGAAGGCTGGAAGCGCTCGCGTCCAATCAGGAGGCGCAACGCACTCGCAACCCGCGCTGCAATCGCCGGGGGCCCGGGGGAGGGGCCCTTGGGGCCGCGCGCTTGCCGTGTGCGCAGGCGTGCTGCCCGCCACGCCCCACCACGCTCCAATAGGCGCGGCGCCCGAAGAGGCGGTGGTCAGGGACCAGCGAAAGTGTGCAGAGGCGCGTGCTGGGCACAGCAAGTCTATCGCGGGAGCGCTGCGGCCCGCGGTGGGGCGGGAAATGTCCGGCTGTCCCCGCCCCGGGCCCGGAGCCCCGGGCCCCGTGCCGAGCCGTGCCGCGGAGGGGTCGGTGCCCCGGGCGGTGCGCGAGGCAGACAGAGACGGAGATGGCGCCCGCAGCGTCCAGGCTGCGTGCGGAGCCTGCGATCGGGGCGCTCCCGCGGCGCGCGCTCGCCCGCTACCTGCTGCTCCTGCGGCTCTACCCGGTGCTCACCAAGGCGGCCACCAGGTGGGCGCGGGAGGGGAGGGGCGCCTGGCGACGACCCGCTCCCTGCGCCTCGCGGGTGGAGCCGTGTCCTCCGTGAACCCAGCCTCCCTAAACCGTGCGGGCGCCGCTGTGCAGGACAGGTGCCCATGGCCCCGCGAGCTTCTCGTGAATAACTAGAAAGACAGGGGCCACACCGAACCGCGACTTTAAGCGTGCGGAGACGTGGGCTCTGGAGAGGGCACGGGGGAGGGGGGGGGCGGGGCAAAGTCCTGAGGCGCCCGCGCAGGCTGGAGAAACTGAGAAAGAAGTAGCCTAGGGTCGGGCGTGGTGGCGCAAGCCTGTATTCTCAGCACTTGGGAAGCTGAAGCACTTGGATCGCTGCGAGTTTGAGGCCAGCCTGTGCTACAAAGTGAATTATTGGCCAACCTGAACTGCATAGTGAGACCTTGTCTCAAAAAGGCAAGACAAAACAAAACAGGAAGTAGCCAAGGGTCAGATTAAAAGGTCCTGTGCTATGCTACAAATTCTGGATTTTATAGTTCCAAAGGCAGCCATAGACCCAGTTTCAGAGAGAGTAATAGGCCCGTTTTCACCTTCCTACAGAAATTTTTATTGCAACAGTGTGGATTCGCATGCAGATGTGAGAACCAGCGTAGGAATTCTTGGGGTAGGAACTTTTCCCATTGGAAACATTTTATAAATCCAAGATACAGTATCAGGCAGATGCAGCCTATGTGCACCCCACGGATCATGTTCATACTTCCATTTTTCCTGTATTCAGTGTGTATTAATTTTGTGCAGTTTCACCACATACGTAGGGTCATGTGTCCACACTAGACACCGCTGCCTTTTTAACTCCACACCTTCATGACACTAAGCACAGTTACCAGCATCGTGTTGGTGTGTGGATGTGCTGAGTTCTGCAATTGCGGGGACGAAGACTGGTCCCAGCAGCCCATGCAGTGATCTCAGAGCAGCCCTGCTAGCTCCAGCCCCCAGCAGGATAAGGGAAACCCTAGGGCGGTTGTTCATGTTTTCTGTCTCTCTGTCCACAGTGGCATATTGTCAGCCCTTGGGAACGTCCTGGCCCAGATGACTAAGAAGAAGCAGAAGAAAGAAGACTCTCAAAGGGTAGATGTCAGTGGGCCTCTCAGATACGCAGTCTACGGGTGAGCACTGCAAAGGGGCTGCCCAGCAGAGCACAGCTACTAAGGCAAGGTCCTGGAAAGGTCTCATCTGGGAAGGTGTTTTTTGAAAGAAAGAGAACTTAAGTAATCATCGTGGGATAAAAGCCAGTTTGCTTTGTTTATGTAGCGTACATATACGTACACAGGGGGTTTTTGTATTGTTTTTTGAGACAAGGTCTTGGTATATAGTCCAGGCTGGCCTTGAATTCTTGATCTTCCTGCCTCGACTTCCCAGGTACTGGGATTACAGGTGTGATCCACCATGCCTAGCTTTTTTTTTCCCTACCCCTGGAGCCCAGAGCTAGAGCTTAACCCCAGGGCCTCTGCCTGCTGCTTCTAAGCTATATCCCCCGACCTTGGGGTATTTTTTTTTTTTTTTTGGTTTTTCTCCGGTACCGGGAACCGAATTCATGACCTTTCGCTTGCCAGGCAGGCACTTTGCCGCTGAGCTAAATCCCCAGCCCCTAACCTTGGGGTATTTTTTTTAAATTCAGAATTCACAAAGGCTACTTCTGTTCTCACTTGAGTGAGTGCTCACTTGAGTCGCTTTTCCAGTGTATTGCTGTCTCCAGTGGTATGTGAGGCGATGTGGTGGGACGCGTCATCTAGCCTCTGTTTCCTGCTTTGAGAAGCCCTGGCACCAGCATTTAGCACCTCAGAGGGTGCCATAGAATGGAGATGGATTGGGGCAAGGCCGGACCTGAGGAGGCCAGTGGAGAGAACCAGTCCTGCTCACACCTCTATGGGCCTCAGGTTCTTCATCACAGGTCCCCTGAGCCACTACTTCTACCTCTTCCTGGAACATTGGGTCCCTCCTGAGGTTCCCTTGGCTGCTGTTAAGAGGCTGCTCCTAGACCGCCTACTCTTTGCCCCGGCCTTCCTGCTGTTATTCTTCCTCACCATGAGCCTGCTAGAGGTAGGTGTCTGCGATCCAGCCTAGCACCCGCAGAACTCCAAGCATCTGGGCACCTCATTACACTCAGCTTGAACTCAGTGCATCTTCCTTTGTAAATGTAGCAGCAGACCATGCAGTGATGGCAGTACCCTATCCCCAGGGAGAATCACAGGATACTTGGGTGGCACCCTGGTGCGCATCACTCTCTGGGTCATCCCTGATGGTTCCGCATTAGATGTGTTGACCAGAAGCCTGTGTACTATCCTGGGATTGCTGCCCTGTTTTGACAGCTGCAATTGAGTATAATCAGTTACTTTGTAGTCCCCTGTATTTTATTTTATACACTCATAAAACATGATACTGAGGTGTCCCTAGACTTCACCAGGGTGCCAAAGCCATCCATGGCACCAAAAGCAAAAGGCTGTCTCTGATAGTGCAGAAGCCTTTCGATGTCTGGAACCCTATAGCACCATGGTGGCAAACCTATGGTGTGTGTCCTAGAGCAGGCTGTTTGTATCACTGAAAGCCCTAAAAGGTTCAATATCTTTGCTGTTGGTGAAAAACTGTACTTGTATATTTTTATTTATAACATTGAATGCTTATGTATATATTTTTCTGCCATGTGTATTTTATCCCTGAGCTTTATTTTCCATTAGTGTTTGTGGTTTTCTCACAGATTTGTGTATTTGCGTATGTTAGTAATATCAGTTTTTTACCAAATACAGGTTGCAATTTTTTTTTTCATTTTGAGATATTTATTTACTTTCTTTTTTTTTTTTTGGTTTTTCTCCGGTACCGGGAACCGAACTCACGACCTTGCGCTTGCCAGGCAGGCGCTTTTGCCGCTGAGCTAAATCCCCAGCCCCTTTATTTACTTTTTTTTTTTTTTTGGTTTTTCTCCGGTTTATTTACTTTTGATACAAGGTCTCAGTATATAGCCCAGGCTGGCTTCGAACTCACAGTGAACCTGAGTGCTGGGATTACAGGTGTGTACCATCACACCTGACCACTTTTTAAATTTTATATAAAGTTGCTTTTCTCCATATGAACGTTCTAAAACTTCATGTTCAAATCTGATCTCTGGCCAAGCATGGTAGCACATGCCTGTAATACTAGCACACAAGAGGCTGAGGTAGGAGGATCACCACAAGTTCAAGGCCAGCCTAAACTATACACTGAGATCCTGTCATGGAAAACAAAATACTCACTGTCAGGTTGGGTGGCTGGAGTGGCCGCTCACCACCTCTGCCTCTTATAGGGGAAGGACGCCGCTTCCTTTGTCACCTGGGTGAGGAGCAGTTTCTGGCCAGCCCTGCGGATGAACTGGCGTGTGTGGACCCCGATGCAGTTCATCAACATCAACTATGTGCCCCTGCAGGTGAGGCCTCCCGTAGTCTTGTGTGCGCTGTCTCCCAGCAAGCTGTGCTTTTTCTCAAGCCCTGTGTCACATCCCTGAGTGCCTGTGTCCTGGGTTTGCAGCTGCAGAGCCACACAGTGTCATCCATGCATTCAGCAGATTCGGCTTAGAGTCAGCACCAGGGACACCTGTGGCTTAACGTTGGTCAGATTTTTCTGGTTCGCCAGGCTCAGTCGCTCACTGAACTGCACATGCAGCCACACCTCAGCTGTGCATAAGCAGGCCCTTTTGGGGGGACCTAGAGTCTTTGGGAGCTACCGCCCAATGAAGGAGATGAGAGTGGCAGGGCTGGGCTAGTGGGGACACAGGAGAGCAAGACCCAGGGCTCCAGGGACGCTGCTGTCACCACACCCAGCCTGCCAGCCCACAAGAGCTCCAGGTTTCAAGGGTTCAGGGTACAGCACATGCAGGCAGCCAGGACCCTGCTGGGTCTGAGCAACCTGTGCCTACCCTGCTAGCACGGGGTCCCCATTAGGTCTCACTGGGAGCTGTACACTGAGTACCTCAGCAAGACCAGGAGAAAGCAGGCGAGGGGAGGGCAGGGTCCTCATAATGCCTAGGTGCCCAGCCTGTCCTGCAGGCCTGTCAGGGGTGCAGCCCCAGGCTGCTCAGGAATTTGCTTCTGCACCCCACTGAACAGCAAGCATGGGAAGAGCTCCACTGGGCTGGCTTCACCTGTGCCTCACAGGAAGGAGCAGGGAGACCCAGCACTGAACACCCGGGGAAGGAGCCTGGGAGGGCAGGGACAGAAGCAGGCTGGTCCACACGCACACATGTGGACACCTCCATGCACACCAGAGAACCAGGGAAGTGTGAACGTGACAGGGCCAGCCAGCCAGAACAGAAGCTGCAGGGAGTTGACACAAAATAAAAAGGTGTCCAGCATTCACAGCAAGCTAATCAGTAGTATTTCCAGGAGGAGCCTCAGGGAACTGGATTCCTTCTCATTGAAGGATGGAGTAGCTTAAAAGAGATCACAAGTCTAGAAAGTTCTCTCAGGAGGTTAGGAGCCATGTGTGGTGGCACATGCCTGTCATGTCAGCAGCACTCGGGGAGCTGAAGCAGGAGGATTGTGACTTGCAGGACAGTCTGGGCTTCCTAGCAGTAGAAGATGGGGAGAAACAGGAGGAGCTGCGTGGGTGGAGGCTGGGACGGCGTGGCCACATTAGGTGCAGATGTGGCTCCCTGTGGATGTATGGGTGTGTGGGGTTCCCGGGAGTACCCCAGAGGCAAGGGCATGGGGCTCTTCCAGGCATGCAGATGGGTGCTTGCATGGGGCCTCTGCATGCAGGTAGGTGACTGAGTGGCATCCAGTGTGGAGACCAAGAGGAGTTGACTGGAGAAGGGCTGAGGGCAGAAGGTCAGCTTCCCACGGCTGCCATGCAATCTCTGGCACCTACAATTGGAGTTTAGCTCAGTTTCAGAGGGTTCGGTACATGGTTGGCTGGCTACAAGACAGGAATGAGCTAGGAATTTTTTTTTTTTTTTTAAGATGGGTCTTGCTATATAGTTTAGGCTGGCCTCGAACTCACGGTGATCCTCCTGCCTCAGCCTTCCATGTGCTGAGATTATAGGTGTGCACCAACATGCCTGGCTAGGAACTGCTCACTTCATGGCTGCTAGGTAGCAGAACATGGGGAAAGAATGGCAGAGAGGAAGGGACAGGGACCAGACAGTCTCCACCTAGGAGTATACTTTACTAATCCCCCAGGGCAGCTGCTTTTAAAACAGTCAAAATTAACTGTCACTGTTGGGCATGGTGGCACACAGCTGTAATCCCAAGACTCTGGCAGGCTGAGGCAGGAGGACTGAAAATTCTGAGTCCTGCCTGGGCGGTTAGGCCGTTTAGTGAGGCCCTATCTCAACATAAAAAAGGGTTGAGGACATAGCTCAGTGGGAGGGCCCTAGGTTCAATCACTAGTACTGGAAAAAACAAAAGGTTAACCATCACAGTTTCCATTTCAGGTGGGTACATTGGGTGACTCGTAAGGGGCAGGAAGGGCAGCCAGTAGGTACATACTTGGCACTGCATGGCTAGTGAACTGACGCGCTGCTGCTCTCATGGACCCATATGCCGGGTCCAGCCAGGGCCAGCCAGCCAGAAGAGAGAGACAGCACCTGCCAGCAGGTAACTCTGGGTGGGGGCAGGTGCCAGACACATACACCAAGGTGCAGCACTGGTGACAGTGTGTTCAGTGAAGGGGGAAAGGGACAGCTGTCTCCCCCGCTCCAGTCCTCAGCTCCCATTGGGAACTACCCTACCCCAATGGACACTGAACCTAAAGAGCAACTCTCTGAGGAAAGCAGATGTTTGTACCCCTTGTTCACAGCAGAAGCATCCACAGTGGCCATGGGTGTAAAGAACACAAATGTCCACTGTGGTGGAATGGGCATTACCGAATGTGGTGCTGTTTCCCAACAGCCTGGAATCACCTTAGAGTGGACAGCTTGTCCTCCTGTCTGTGCTGGGTCTAGCACTGAGCTGGGTACAAACTAAAGCTCAGTAAGTAGAACAGCAGGTGAGGAGACAACTGACTGAGCCGCTCCTCCTGGTGATGCTACCTCTGTCTGACTCCTCTGGCAGTTCCGGGTGCTCTTTGCCAACCTGGTGGCTCTGTTCTGGTACGCCTACCTGGCCTCCTGGGGAAGTGACAGAGCCTGAGGAGGACCTTGGACACACAGCAGATGGGGCTGGGGAGCACCCGCCTGAGGGAGACCCAGGACCAGTGCAGGCAGGATTCCGTCTGATGCTAAATCATGTGATTCATGGTGCCCCGTAATGACAGCTGGAGAAACAGAAGCCTTAGGTGTCTCGATCTTGAGAGAAGCAGCTGCCACCTCAGGCGATAGAGATGGTACTGGGTGCTGCCTTGAACCCAACAAGGATCTCAATAAACTGTGATGGAGCTGCCTCCTTGGTGATTGTGATTTTTCAGGAGTTTCTGTTGCTTGGGAGAAACATGTAGCCAGGTGTGCTCTTTGTTTGTGTGTGCACTGTGGTAAGTAACAGCACAGTTTGACATAAGTAGTCACAGTGCTGTGTAGCCATCACCACTGTCCATTCCAGGGTTTTATCTCCTCAAACTGACACACCAGCGCCCTTCCCTTTCCCCAGCCCCTAACAACTCCATCCCACTTTCTCTCTCCCTGAATTTGAGTCTAGGCGTCTCGTGAGTGGAATCACACAGTATTTGTCCTTTTATCTCACTTAGGATAGTATCTGCCAAGGTTTGAATGCAGACACCAGATATAGTGTTAAATAGTAGTAAAAAGTGCTGGAGTGTAGCTCAATGGTAGTGTGCCTCTGAGTTTGATACCCATACTGCAAAAAATTAATTAAATTTAATAAAAAGGGTTGGGGGTGCTGGGGATGCAGCTCAGGGGCACAAGCGCCTGCCTGGCAAGCACAAGGCCCTGAGTTCAATTCCCGGTACCAAAAAGGGGGAGTGTTGGGGGAGCTCCAGTGGCAGCATGTGCCAGGCCCTGGGTTCAATTTCCAGTACCATACACACAAAAAATTGGAGGCTTTAGGGTGTGTAATTAAGTCGCTCATGAATGGATTGATACCCATATAAAAGATTGTTCAGAGAGTTCATTCCACTGGCCCTTCCTGCCAAGTAAGGACACAGCACCCTACCCCATCTGAAGGATTCAGAACCAGGTGCCATCTTGGGATCAGAGACATTGGGCCCTCACCAGTGGCACACTGGTCTTGGGCTTTGCAGCCTCCAGAGTGAGAAATAAATCTCCATTATTGATAAATTACCCAGTCTTGGAATTTTCTGATTGTCAAGGTTCATCCATGTTGTAGCATGTCAGAATATTTTTTCTGGGTTTTTTTGGTTTTGGTTTCTTTCTGGTACCGGGAATTGAACTCATGACGTTGTACTTGCCAGGCAGGTGCTGTGCCATTGAGCTAAATCCCCAGCCCCCATTTTTTCTGTTTGTGAGGCAGGTTTCCTTTTTAAGGCTGCACATTGTGTTACCAATTTTATCTTCCCTCCAGGCTCTTGACTTGAATGCAACAAAAAATGAAATCCATGGACACAGCAGTGCGGAATGAACTAGGTGCATTTTATTTTAGGAAGAAAAAGGAAAAAAAAGGTGCCTGCTAGCCAGGAGGAACTCCAAGGGAGTACGCCCCTATGGCACCCATTTCCAGGGGTTTTTATGGAGACTCTGGGCACTTTTGGTCAGAGCACAGAAATGAAATGTATAATGTGGTTGCCACCTTTGCTAGGCCTCTGATGCCGGAGGGCTAACCTCCCTTACACTCCAATTTCCTGCGTTTATCTGAGTCTATTCAGGCCTTTGCCCTTATGTGCCATATTGTCCCTGTACTTCCTGGTCTCACCTGCATTGCCATAGACACCATATTTGGTAATGTCCCTTCTGCCACAGTGGATACATCTATGTTCCTCACGCCAGGGCCACCGTGGATATACAAACATCAGCTTTCCTCAGAAAGCTGAGCTTTAGGTTCAGTGTGCATTGGGGTGGGGTGGTTCCCAGTGGAAGCTGAGGCATTTACCTGAGTAACCAATGCTAGTGCAGTTGATGTATATCATGATGATTCCAGCCGTTACCTCCAACTCACCTCTTCCAGTGGACCCCACTTACCTGGCAATGATAGCAAATTAAGGCTCTCGATCTCAAAAAACTATAGACTCAACTCCAGAGATCAGCTAGGTGCAGTGGTGCACACTGGTTAGCCACCTGCTCTGGCAGCTAAGACAGGAGAATGACTTGAACCCAGAAGTTTGCCCAGCCCAGACAATGTAGCAATGAGACTTCCTCTGCAAAAAATAAACAGTCCAGTTCTCAGTTCTAGAGATCAGCTGTGGTTTTAACATCTATCTCAGGATTCCTGTGACAGAACTCTTCAGGGAACACCACAGCATTACTCGATCCTGCAACATTTGGTGAAACTGAGGCAAGAGCCCTTGGCTAGTAAGAGGGAACCTGGATTCAGACGTGGCAGAGCTTCCCAGCCTCTCAGACCTCAGGGTTAGACAAGATGGAGAATTCCTGGGCAGCTTTGTTTTTAAGTAATGTGAATTCGTATTCCCCTACCTCTGGCTTAGCAGAGGCCACATGCCACCCAGCTCCTTTCACACAGTTTCTTGGGTGCCGCCAGTCTTCCATTTGGACATTCAAATGATGTAAAAATGGCTGGTGGTAAGTGGCTCAATGAGCTTCATACTGTTTCACAAGGAAGCAGTTTTTTCTTACACTTGAATCTGGCTGTCTTGACCGATATTTTAATTATACTTGGACAATATGAATTCATAAAAAGGTCTAAGAAGCTAGGCATCGTGGTGCAGGCCCCTCATCCCAGCACTCTTGGAGGCTGGGGCAGGAGTATTGCAAGTTTGGATCCACACTGGGCAAACAGGCGATTTAGTGAGACCCTGTCTCAAAATAAAAAATAAAAGGCTGGGGACGCAGCTCAGCGTGAAGGCCCAGAGCTTAACCCTAATACCTGAGGGGCAGGGTAGGCCTGAAAGCGGCATCCACCTGCTGCATCCCCTGCGTCTTTTGATCTCGGGGAGGTGGACACTGAAGGCGCCACAATAAGCTGTCTTTCGAGACGAGGGAGAAAGGGCTTGGTTCCTGGATACTGTAGCGCCTACACTACCAGTGGCTGAGCTGGGGACATCGCCATGAGGTCCCGTGGTCCCTGGGCCGGTGCGAAGCGCCAGAGAGCTTCGCAATCTGTCCCTCCCGTCCCGCTCCCCGCGTTACCGTCCCTGCGATCGCGCCCGGCGGGGGGCAGCCCCTCCTGCACCGTTGCTGCCCGGTGGACTAGGAAAACTCCCAAGGGCCCTCGCGCAGCTAGGAGACAGGGGCGGGACTTCCGTCAGCCGGGAGTGGAAGAGTGCGGAAGCCTGACCCTCTCGGCGCTCCGTCGACCAGGCACTGGCGGTATGGCGTTCCGACAGGCGCTGCAGCTAGCGGCCTGCGGGCTGGCTGGGGGCTCGGCAGCCGTGCTCCTCTCTGCGGTGGCCGTGGGCAAGCCGCGCGGCGGTGGGGATGCGGATGCGCGCGCGCCCGAGCCGCCGGCCTGGACTGAGGGCGTGCAGCCGGGGCCCAGCCTCTGGGATTCCAACTGGGATAGGTGCGCGGCGCGTCCTGGGGCTGGCGGGAGAGTGTTCTGTCCCTGAGGGCCGTGTGTTCGGGCGGGCTGCCCTCGTGCGTCCCGGAGTGTCCCCGAGGGACCTTGTGATCGGACAGCCTCGTCTGAGGCTCCCGAGCGTCCCTGCATCGGGACACCTGAGCCTGAGGATCCCCTTGGGAAGAGCGGACAGCGCCTCCTCCCAGCCCGGTCGGTGCTCCGGCGCTGTCTACTTGTGGATATGGAGCTTTTGAAATAAGACTGTGGTTACAGCAGGGAATTTTTAGTTTTACTTAATATCAGTGTCAGCTGAAAATGCAATCAGTGCAGGCTTTTAATATATGTGTTGAAATGACAGTGTTTTCAGTATATTGGTAAACCAGCGTCAGTGATATTTAACGAATATTTGTTTCCCTAGTTGTATTAGGAACTTCATAATTTATTTTTTAACTTTTAATTTTTTTACAAAATGAACGTTTTGGAATAGTTATATAGTCATAGAAAATCTTTAAGCAGGAGCCTTTCTTTGGTGTCCCACAACTAATTTCCTCTGTTATTAACTTACTACACCAAATGTTTGTTTGTCAGATCTCAATTTTCTCCTAGTCCTTAATCCCAGAGTGTGTTTTGCGATGCCTGTCAACTGGGCTGGTCTCTCACTCTCTGATGATCAAGACTGCTGGGCCAGTGTTTCCTGGGAGGTCCTCAATTGGGATTTGTCTGATGTTTCTTTAATGGTTAGACAGACATTCTTTTCTTTCTTACTTTTTTTTCTTTCTTCTTTTTGTCTTTTTGAGACAGGGTCTCACTATGCAGTTCAGGCTGGCCTTGAGCTCACTTTGCAGCCCAGGCTGGTCTTAAACTTGCAATGATCCTCCTGCCTCAGCTTCTCAAGTGCTGGGATTACAGGCGTGTGCCACCAACTTGCAACGATCCTCCTGCCTCAGCCTCTCAAGTGCTGGGATTACAGGCGTGTGCCACCATGTCCAACCCATCCTCTTTTTTTCTTTAAAAATCAGTACACTACTATGAATTTCTCAGACCTTTTATTTATTTATTTACTTATTTATTAGCCAGGATCTCACTATGTAGTCCAGGCTGGCCTCAAACTGGCAGCAATCCTCTTGCCTCAGCCTTCCCAGTGCTAGGATGACCGGTGCATCACCACGCCCAGCATCTCAGCCCTTTTAAAGAAAAATATCCACTCTGATGTCAAAGAACTTCCTTGAAGTAGAACCTAAAGTCGGGTCCAGGTTTACCTGATTTTGCTTTTCATGTCTAGACATGAATAGGGAGACTCGGAGTGATTTAAATTTGTTGGGGTAAGGAGGGACCCAGAGAAAAAAGGTGGTAGAAGGGGGTGCATCTCCTCACGTTCCGTCTGTGCTGGCAAATCCTAGGGCAAGCCCCCGCTCTTCCTGGGGGCCTTGTGGAGCTCAGAGCTTCCTGGCTCTGCCTGTTTTCTCTGGTTTAGCCTCTGAATCCCTCAGCTACTAGGGTGTGCACAGCAGCCAAGACAGCCCTGCCAGATAGCCTCTGGGTCACTATGATGCCCCTCCTGTTATTCCTCATCCACCACAGTCTCCACAGGGGAATCTCGGGAAGGTTTAACTTATGCAGTTCCTGCCTCTCACCTTTAACTCTGTAGCTTCAGTTCCCACACCCACTAGCCAGTGTGATGGCCACTACTGCAGGGGCTGCTGAGCATTCCGAAGATGCTTAGTGTGTCTGCGCACTGTGCACAGGCCTATAACCCCAGCTAAAGGCTGAGGTAGGATAATCATGAGTTTGAGTCCAGCCTGGGAACTCAGTAAGACCCTGTTTCAAAAAATAGAAGCAGGGGTATAGCTCAGCAGAAGAGTGCTAGCCTAGCATGTGTGAGGCTCTGAGTTCAATCCCCAGTACCAGAAAAAAACGAAACTTATGTGACTGAAAAAATGGGAGTTCTGAAATGATTTAATTTCAGTAACAGTGGTCTCTTGGTGTTCTGGGGATTAGTTCCAGGATCCTCACAGATACCAAAATCTGTGAATGCTCATCTCTTATGTAAGATGGTGTAATATTTACATATAGCCTAAGCACATCTTCCTGTGTAATTTAATTGTTTTTGGTGTGCTTTGTGGAGCTGGCCTCTCCCAGCCAGGGCTGAGCTTTCCCACCATGCTCTTGCCCTGTTTCCGTCACAGCTGGAAATACCATCTAGTCCCAGAACTCAGGATGTCTTGGAAGAGGTCACAAGGCCTCATCATCTTATCTCCAACATTAGGCGAGAACCACTGTCTCTTATCAACCTTCGGAAGAGGAATGTGGAATCTGGAGAAGAAGAGCTAGCATCCAGGCTGGGCCACTACAAGGCCAAAGCCACGCGGCACATCTTCCTCATCCGGCATTCCCAGTACCACATGGATGGTGCCCTGGAAGAGGACTGCACGCTGACCCCACTGGGTATGTGCCAGTGTCATGGCCCTCACTCCCTTGATTGGCCTTGCAGGTGTCTGGGCAGTGGGCTTCCTCCATTCCCCCAGGTGGGAATACTGTCACTACAGTCACCGTCACAGGAGCCAAGCTCCTTCTTGTTCCCTTAAAAATTCCAGGACCAGGGCGTGGCTGCTCAGACTCTCCAGTGCACTTCCCTAGCAGGCATGAGGCCCTGAGTTCTAGCTCCAGCACTGAAACCCCCACCACCACCACCAAAAAAAGCAACCCTGTGCAAAGCATTGTGGTCAGTGTTTGTTGTACGAGATCAAGTTTAGTGCTTGTTTTAGTGGGGCTCTGTGCGCATGGTGCCTGGACCTGCTGGTGCCTTCTGTCTTGCGGGCCTGCACACCTGGCCCCAAACCCCTCTGTTCAGCACTGATGAACCTGCCTGATGAACATCCTTGTCATGGAGCTTGTCACTTCACTGGTGTGTGTGTACCAGCAGACATGGGGTCCTTGTGACTTCTTACTGCCCCAGAGGCTATTTTGTCTGAGTCTTGTGCCATGCTCCTGCAGGAATTCTTGGAAAAGGGGTTGTAGGGTGAGCTGAGAGAGTTAAATTTTATGTTTTTGGAGAAGGGTCTCACTATGTTTCCCAGCCTGGCCCCAACTCCTGGGCTTAAGCAGGCCTCCTGCCTCAGCTTCCCTTGTAGCTGGGACTCTAGGTGCTGCCACCACACTGGTTGAGTTGCTGTCGTCAAGAGTTGATATTTCCCATTCTCCATGTGTTCAAGAATTCGATGGTAGGAAGGGGCACCCAGGCCTGTTCTCCACAGAGCATGCCCCTCCTGCGAGCAGTGTCTGGCTCCTGTGCACAGTTAAGCACCCACCTGTGGAGGTGGCTGTATCTGGCAGAAGCAGACTTATTGGGGCTTCTTCAGTCAGGTGCAAAATACACTTGAGAAGAGGCAGTGGGGCCACATCAGCCTGCTCAGGAGCACTGAGGTCCCAGTCTGTGTGAGTGGCATCTGTGAGTCACACAGCTAGAGGCCGCATTGGACTACAACTTGCTATGTGGACATAGCTGAGTATGGGGTGACAAAACACACAGCCAGCCCAACTCTGGCGGCAGGCAGGTTGGTCATGCAGTTAATGGAGCAGCTGCATCCTCTGTGCAGGGAGGAGCATGACTAAGTCTCACCCTACAACCCCTTTTCCAAGAATTCCTGCAGGAGCATGGCACAAGACTCAGACAAAACTCATGACTAAGACTGCTCTTGCTCCTGACCCAGGCCTGTTAGGTAGGGCCCTTGTAGGAGTTTGGTGCAATGTGGGACCTGTGTCTGTAGGGAGTAAGGGCATCCAGGTACATGGAGAGTTTCTCAGGTGTTTCCCCTTCAAGGTCGGGAGCAGGCGGAACTCACTGGCCTCCGCCTTGCCAGCCTGGGATTGAAGTTTAACAAAATCGTCCATTCCTCCATGACCCGTGCCGTGGAGACCACAGACATCATCAGCAAGCACCTGCCAGGTGAGTGCTATTTAGGACCTATTTCCTGCCTGACCACTAACCGTGCAGAGTGGGTACAGTGCACCTCCTGGTGCAGCACTGTGAGCCCCCTGTCCCCTCTAGATGTCTCCAGAGTTAGCACCGACCTGCTGCGGGAAGGCGCCCCCATCGAGCCTGACCCACCTGTGTCACACTGGAAGCCCGAGGCTGTGGTAAAAGCTGTCACTCGGCCACCTGGCGGGAGGGTGTGCTGCCTCACCAGCTTGGCCTGCAGTTGCTCTGGGCTGATGCTTCCTTGTTCTGCCCTCAGCAGTATTACGAAGATGGAGCAAGGATCGAGGCTGCCTTCCGGAACTACATCCACCGGGCTGATGCCGAGCAGGAGGAGGACAGCTACGAGATCTTCATATGCCATGCCAATGTCATCCGCTACATCGTGTGCAGGTGGGAACCCTGTGTGGCATGGAGTGAGGATAAAGGCCGGGGCAGAGCCAGTGTCCCACACACAGGTCCCTTGCTGCTACCTGCAGGAGCTGAATTGTCCTGGGAGCCCTTGGTCTGTTTTAGGCAGGGTCCTAATCAGTTATGCATGGACTGTGTGTCACATAGAGGTCTCTGATGCATGGGGAATGGCACATAGGGATGTGCGCCAGTGCCGGTGCTGAGGGTCTGCTGGGTGCAAGCAGCAGTACCTGTTTCCCTTTGTGAGCGGTAAACAGTAGGGGGCTGTGCACAAGTTCACTTTTCCTCAAGCTGGTACCAACCACTGTTAAGGTCTACATGGGATGCGTGAGTGTATGGGTCATGTGGGTGTCACTGAATATATGGGTGTCCCCCTGGATGATTTGGCAAAGGGTGAACAAATCCCTGTAAGAGAGAAGTTCAAATTTGTGTGGAGCTGTGCCTCTCCTACAGCCATTAGAAAATCCTGGGCTAGCTTCGGTCACCAAGGGATCTCATTCTTACGTACAACAGGATTCCACCCAGCTGAGGTGGGTCCAGACCAGGCACAGAGCTGTTGGTGGTATGAGTGCTATACCCTGTGCATGGCTGCTTGGCTCGTACTACCAACAGGGTTAGGCGCTTCCAGGGTTGCATGGACCCACCTCTGCTGTGGCTCTGCACATGCTTCTCTGTGCCTGGGCAGTCTGTCATGTTGACACATTATCACATGTTTGATAACAAGTCACTAGGTGGTAACACTAATACTAAAGAGGTACCAGGAGTTACCAGGAACATGGAGTTAGAGCTGCTTCTCCTTTGTGAAATAAAGTGCTGAAACAGAGCCAGAGCTGGGGACAGTGACACATACCTGTGACTCCAGTTACTCTGGAGGCTGAGGCAGGAGGATCATAAGCCAGCCCAGGCAACTTAGTGAGACCATGCCTCAATAAATAAATAAAAATAAATCATTAAAAGTAAAATAAATACATACATTTTGGGGGTGCAACTTAGTGGTGAGCACTTGCCTTGCATGCAGGGGGCCCTGGGTTTCATCCCCAGTAAAACACACACATACACACACACAATCACAATCAAATTCACCCTTTAACTACCCCCTTGTTACCCTGGAAAAGCAAGTTAAATCCCATCTACTTGTAGGAAACCAGTGTGTTTCTTACTTGCACACAGCTCAAGTTACTAGGGCCTGAGTCCCAGCAGGGCAGGTCCCTCAGGTGGCTCAAGGCATGCATCCCCACAGGGCTGTGCTTCAGCTGCATTCAGCTGCTGCTCCTCTCTCTCCAGAGCGCTGCAGTTCCCTCCGGAAGGCTGGCTCCGCTTGTCCCTGAACAATGGCAGCATCACCCACCTGGTGATCCGCCCCAGCGGCCGGGTTGCACTCCGGACCCTGGGGGACACGGGCTTCATGCCACCTAACATGGTCACCCGGTCCTGAGGCCACTACAGCACTGCCTTCCTCTGTCTCCTCATCCTGGCTGTGCTCCAGCTGCAAAGCAGTCGGAGGCTGGTGGGAAGTGTCTCAAGATCATCCTGGGGATGTACCTGGAACTCACTTCTGCTCAGGCTGAGAGAAGCAGTCACTCACACCACCTGGCTTCTCTGCCTTACAGGGCACCTACAGTCTGTGGGGTGACTGTAGGGTGCATGGCTGTCATATTGGGATCCTGGCCATGGCACCAAGCTGGGGGAGGATGACCAATGTTTTGTTCACAGCCTGCCTACCACTTCATACTCTTCTGTCTGGAAACCTGTTATCATTTAAATATTTGTCAATTAAAGATTTTCCTCCTCTGGATTCTTGCCTTGAAAACGTTTCAGACTTGGGCTAGGGACTTGACACTGCTGCATCTGCACTCCAAGGCCAGGACTGGAAGCTGTGCAGAGGGCAGGTTTGTCGGGGCACAGCCAGTAACAGTTTTCCTGGAGCTGTCTGACACCAGTGGCTCCAGCTCTGCACTGGTGACTATAAATCTTGTGGGCATATGGGATAAAATACTCATATGATGTATCTCCCAAAATGTTGTGTAACAGGAAAAAACTACAGTTTCTATGAAGTGCTATGAACATTTTCTGCAGTCAGTACAATGAATTGTGATACTTTTCCCTGTCATCTTGGAAATAACTGCATAATAAAATTTTTTGGGTGTTTTTAAAGTATTAATTGTGACTTCCTGTTTCATAGAAAACAGGTAGCCTGTGCTGACACAGACAGCAGTGGTGTCACAGCACCTTGTGTTCCCTGGGTGGGAGGCTCCCATGTGCCATGAACCCAGGCCTCATATAAGATCCCCTAGAAACACCACTCACGACTGCTAGAAGTTGACAAGTGTATGGGGGCTGAGTGGCCTCCCACTGTAGTGCTGTGCCAAGGGCCCCCTGTATGCCATAGCCCCAACACCTGACCTCAAGGAAGCAGGTGGTCCTTGAAGGAGAAGCCTTAGCTCTGAGGGGTCCTGGCACTGCTTAGAAGGAACGGGGTCTTCTCCCTCGGGAGGCGCAGTGTGGATGCAGTCAGTCACCCCTCTCCAGTCCCCAGAGACCTCCCAGCTGTGCCTGTTACAGTGAACAGAGGTGGTATTAAACTGAAATAGTGGCCAAGAGTGGTCTTTGTGCACTGGCCCTGGGCGCTGGAGGCAGGTAGAGTTGTTTAATTCGATGGATCACAGGAAATCACTGCTTCCGTAACCAAAAAAAAACAAAGGAAGCTCCAAGATCATGCTACTAAAGTCAAGGGTATGGCGCTGGGATTTCAGATTTTGTCGGGAGAAGTCTGACTCATTCTGTTCTTGAGGCACAAGGCAACTGTAACCTGTATTTTTTAAAATAAAAAACTGACTCTTTATGTCAGTTCCTGGCAAATTTTCCACCATTAATACAAAGTCCTTCTGCTCTGTGGCTCTTCCAATAGCCTCTCCCCTCAGTGTCTCCAGGCAGTTCGGTAGATGCTCCTGGCTCTGTGTGCAACAGGGATGGGCCTGGGGGGACCTGGGGCAGCCTGGTGCCCAACAAGCCTTAGCAGGAGGGGTGGACAGCTCCAGGCAGAGGCCCAGTGACAGAGGGAAATTCCCTGCCTGTAGAGCTGGGAGGAAGCTGTGCCTTTGGTGATGGACAATTAACTACAGGCTCGGGAGCACTGGTAACAAACCTTGAGGACCTAGATAAAATGGCTGAGGGGGCAGTATCTACACTAAGTGGCAGCTGGCTCCCTATGACCACTATGTTGCTGTTTATTCCAAAATACTTGCCTGTGAAACAGCAGGGAAGAGAACATGTATGACCAGTAAGCCAGATAGCAGGTGTGACTTGGACAGGGGCAAGCGTCACCAATAGAAGAGGCCGACACTGCCCTGACCTCTTGTCATAACCATATCTGCCGCAGCCATGGACGGTTCTGGGTGTGGTCTCTGCTGGCGTGGTGGGCACATCAATTAGCAGCACCCTGGCTGGCTTTTCCCCAAAACAAAATTAAAAAAACAGTGGGGATTTGGGGTGTCTGACAGTACCTCTGAAACAGACACACACTGTTACCCTTGCAGAAAGGCCTGCCACTGCCAAGTGCAGCTGCAAAATGTGCATTAGTTTATTAGACACAAAAAGTTTTCCACAACTGTGTAAGGAAACAAGGGGGCAAAAACAGCAGCCAGTAAGCCAGGTATGGTGCAGCACCTGCAGTCCTAGCACTTAGAGGCTTAGGTGGGAATCGCTGGAGCCCAGATGAGACGCTGTCTCAACAAACAGCAAACAACATACCACTAGCTCATCAAAATACTGCCACAGGTTTACTAAAAAGGACCTTATACCCAGACACAAGTAAAGGTGCTTTGTGAAAACACAGTGTAAAAATAATTTATTCCATGAAGTGGTTTTAAAAGGACACATCACCCAGGTGACAGTGTTCAGGGGGATATGTATTGCCCTGTCTCACAAAAGCAGAAAAACAGTCCTAAGGGGCTTGCAGCTTCACAGAATGGGCATCTACAAAACCAAGGCAAAAACAGTATTTTAATTTCTATTTGATATTTACAACATACAAGATGATATAAGAATGTAAAGAGATCATCACTAAGTATAATCATGTTCTGAGAACAAAGATGCTTTTTAAAATACAGTTGTTCTTAGAATGAACTATTTGTTTCTTATACTCAGATCTTGTCTGCTACACAGCAAATGAAAACACTCATGTAACAAACTTTAGTTTTAAAAATGAAATCTCAATTCCAGTATGTTTGACCTGTTTGTAACAAGAAATAAGCTTTTTTTTAAAGCATGTTTCAACTCAGAATTTTTTTTTTTTTGGTACTGAGAATTGAACTCAGTACCTTATGCTCACCTGGAGGCACTGTGCTGCTGAGCTATATCCCTGGCTCAATTCAGAAATTTTATGAAAGAAAAAAATCTTTCTTATACTTACTATCATTGTATATTCTCAAACAATAAAGTCTGGAAAATTCGAACTGCTTTACAGAAGGCACTGAGGCTGGCTGAGGTGGGACATAGAACTTGTTCTGGACCAGACCTCAGGTGTCCACAGAGGCATCTCCCCCAGGGGATGGCAATGGACACACACTGACTTCCCTAATACTCTGTGACCACAGCCTCTGGGGTCAGTGCTGGGGAGAAGGCTAAACGAATGGAAATGACTCAGAACTGGTTCTCAGCAGCGGCACAATGCTCTTTCCTGTTTTGATTTTTTGAGACAGGGTCTTGCTAGGCAATCTAGAATGACCATGAACTCACTGTGTAGCCCTGGCTGGCCTCAAACTCATGGTGATACTCCTGCCTCAGCTTCCCCAGTGCTGGGATCATGAGCATGTATCACCACACCCAGCTTCTTCTGGTCAGTAAAGTTTCCAACCCTGAGGCTGCGATGGTTAAGCTCATCTGCTCTCTGCTGCCAACAGGTGGAAAGCCACAGGGCGCCGTCATCATCCACTAGGAAGGTGGTCTGGTAGAAGGGGGCCGAATGCAGCCATCTTCATGTGGATCTTGAGTGCAGTCGGTGGGGTACCACAGGTAACCCACTGACTGCACCTGAAGTTGTTATTGCCACATGGACAGTATGTATACAAGATCCATATTTCAGGGGGCTGTTGACAGCTTCTTCCAAGACATCACTGATTTTTACTTCTTTGTAGAACATTTGCATTTCTAAATCCCTGTACCCTGCAAGTGCAGACTGTACGTTACTCAGAATATGCTCCTTTACAAAATCTTACCAATAAGTACATCTCCCTCTTCCTTTGAAAGCGGAGAAGGGAATGAGCGCCCTCTACGGGACTGCAAGCTGGGTTCCGGGGACCACTGTCCGGTGCAGGAGGCGCCCGCGCACAGGGCTGTAGGGCCCAGGGCTGCCCAGGCTGGGGGAGTGAGGAGCATGGCCAGGCCTCCCAGGGCTGCCGCCAGCTGGAGCCCTTCGCCCTGGGCTGCTGCTGTCGGGGATGCAGAGGTCTGACAGCTGACACTTGAGTTTTCCTTTCAGTGCAGGGCTTGGCCAACTGGGGAGACATAAAAAGATCACTCAGCACAGGTGCGCCAGTGTAGCTAGCAGGAGATTCATGAGAATGGGCAGGAGCTCAGGACAGAGACAAGGTGGGAGGAGCCACCACAGTGCAAAGGAGGTGCTTCTAGACCCAGATCCTAGGGATCTGCCACACAAAACCAACACCATGCTGCCCTCGAGCCCTGGATGTTGCCCCTGCACCCTTGGCTCACAATACCATGCTCACCCTGTGTCTGTCCTGCTGGAGACCTGTCTTGTGCATGGGAACCCAGGCCCTGTCAGGGACAAATCATGCACCAGCCTGCCGGGGGGTATAGCTGTGTGACAGAGCACCCACGAGTGACCTGGCCTTCCACACCCCACTCTTTACAGTGCCCCCCGCATTGCACCTCTGCCTGTCTGCAGGCAAGTAGCACAGGACAGCGCTCCTCCACCGATGCACGCCCGGGTACTGATCAGGGTTGATGTCCACACCCTGCAGAGCTGCCAGGACATCCTGGTCCAGCTTGCATGGCTCCTCTCTAGAATGCACAGCAAAGAGATACAAGAACAGGCAAAAACAGCCTCAATTTAAAAAAATGGCACAGCATCTGCCTGGCAAGTACAAGGTTGTGAGTTCGATTCCTGGTACCGGAAGAAAAAAAAAAAAAAAAAAAAAGACTTTTAAAACATTACTGCATTCTTACTTTTATATATTTTTTGAGACAAAGTCTTGCTATACAACCCAGGCTGACCTCAAATGTGTGATCCTGTCTCAGCCTCCCAAGTGCTGGGATTCCAGGTGTGTACCACCATGGCCAGTGTATCTCACTGCATTTTTCATGTAAGCATCCAGCAAATGAGCAGAATGGTGTGTGAGAATCAACCTGGCCTGAGTGGAGAGCCCACGAAGCCATCCCAAGGCTCAAGCACCAGCTGAGGACTATGGGTCCCTTGTGCTGTGGTGAGAGCACAAGGGTGGCAGGGTTGCCTCCAGGACACAGCCAGGTCCCCACTGCAGCTTTGCATGCCCTGCTGCATGTGGTTCCCTAACATAAACCACATTCTTAGGACCTACCCAATAGTCTGGAGGCCTCTCCTTTCCTGGCGAGTGACAGCCAGCACTAGGATCAGCCTGTCCGGCTGGACACGCTACCCAAGCTACCTAAGCATGACAGAGACAGGAACCTGCCAACTATGTCACACTGTGGGAATACAGGAGGCTTTAGAGAACTGCACACAGGGTCCCACACTTACCCACAAAGGAAAAGTCTGCCGGTAGGGTTGGTCACAGGGCTTGGCACAGCCTGGGACTCGGAATCCAAGGACATCGTAGCCATCACAGCTGATACATCACTTTCTGCCCCTGTTTGGTTATTTCTGAGTTTGTCTGCAGCAGCGGCAGGTGCTGACAAGCCATTTTCTACTGTGTTCTTTATCTTATCTTTTGTATTCTTATCTGTATTTGGTGTCTTGGAAAGGCTACCACCTTGATTTTGCAAATTCAGTTTATTGAACTCAAGCATCAAACCGGAGACATGTGACAGAAGGGCCTGCTCTGCTCCAGGAGCCTCTGGTCTTCTGCATAGGGCCCTGCTGGGACTTGGGGGACAGCAGAGCCCATTTGGGACTGAGTGGCATGGGCCTGAAGCTCCCATGCAGTCTGCCTTAGCACCAGGCTCCAAGTTTCTGAATGCATCAGCCTTGGGCTGGCTGTGGTTTTGAGCTCTATTCTGCCGATTTTTCATTTCTTCTAGGCTCACGTCACCATCCCCATCTAGAAATGCCCCCACGGAAATGGAGTTGCAACACTGCTTCTCATGGCCTGTGGGCGATAAAGCAGACACACTGTGGACCCCACTGTGCAAGCTGGGAAGGACCAAGTTCTCCTGGGACAGGCACATGGCCCCACTAACAGAAACAAAACTTCCGGGCCACTCTTCCCTCAAAGCAGGAAAGAGGAGGAGGAGGAGGGCTGGAAGCAGCCCAGGCCACCAGTTTTCTGATCTGCTGGGCTCCCACAATTCTATGAGGAAGTCACTGGGGAGCAGTACTGTGCCTACTTAAGGGAAAGACTGTTTCCTTGTCAAGACAGCAGCCATTTGGTTGAACACTGCCAAGTGCTATTCAGGAAAATGCATCTTATTAATATTATTATTATTTTTGAGACAGTATCTCATTGTGTAGCTCAGGCTGGCCTTGAACTCACTATGTAGTCCAAACTGGCCCCGAACTTACAGCTACCCTCCTGCCTCAGCCTCCTGAGTGCTAGGATTACAGTCATGTGCCACCATGCCCAGCTTAAATTAATATGCTCTTATGCAAGTAATTATTATGCAAATATATCTACTTTGTGCAAATACACTTACAAAAAATTAAGCAGTTTTGCTTTTTTTTCCTCATTAATTGTAAACCTTTTTCCACATCATTCATTACTCTTTAAAAGCAGGATTTTAAATTTTGTGTAAGAACAGTTTAGTTTACCAAATCAGTCTGATACTGTTGGAGAAGGGAGCCATGCTGCCTTGGGGTATTCAGGTACCCCTAGTCCTCTCCTCCCGAGACTCTGGACCAGGCCGACTGGCATCTATCCAGAGACCGCACAGCTCCTGGCAGATCCAGGCAGGCGGCAGCGCCCACACCACACTGTATCACGCAGCCCTCCCTCACTGTGCTTTACAGCTCTTGTTTGTTATAAGGAGTGAGGTGCCTGCTTTTATTTCCTTTGGGGAATTTCTTCTCCTTTGCACATTTCACTTCCGGGCACTGATATCTTTTTCTTACTAATATTTAAGGATCATTTATATCCCCCCATACCCTGCGCTGAGGTGGAACCACGGCATCATGCGTGCTAAGCACACTCTACTATTGAGCTGCACTTCAGACCAGCTCTTTTCTAATGTTATTGTGTCATGAGTTACTCCTAAGCTTCACACAGATTAACCTGTTCCAATCATTCCATCAACTTTTTGTGCTCCTAAGGGTCTAATAAACACCCGAGCATGCTGGAAAGTGTCCCCCTTGTCCTTTTCCTGACAGCACTTGATGTATTCAAATATAGAGAGTATCTAGAAAACATGTATAGAAACACAAGCTCTCAAATATTACAGGTCTTACATGTTTTTAAAAAACAGAACAGAAAAAAAAACAAAACAAACCAGCACAGAGTGAATCTTACTCAACTTTGGGGAAGGAGACGAAGCCAGAAGTAGCAACAATGCTCTTCGTTACTCTTCTCCTCTCATAGACACCTATACACATACTCACACACGCATACACACCCACGCATCCCTCGCGACACCAGCCTGAAGGCAAGTTGCCCATTTTAACAATAAAAACACAAGAGGCAGAGAAGAGAAAAGGGTCACAGATGGATGCTTCCGATGGGGCCAGGGCCACCTTGGACCATGCTTGCTCACCAGAGGTGAAGGCTTTCTCTCTGGGACAGGTTTCATTTTCTCTTGTTTCCTGTTGCGCCTTTTTGCCCATTTCCTGTTGAGCAAGATACTCTTCTAGTCTCTGCAGGCCCTCCTGGGAAGACAGATCCACAAAACAGCCCAGAAATTCCCAGTATTCGGCCCAGGGAATCCTTAGCTCATGAGCGAGCTCCCTGTAAGGAATACACAAGTAATAGCTGAGAAAATACAAGAACACCCATAGAACTGACTGTACAGAAGATAGCCACTTGCTGCTCCAAGTGCCAAAGCAATATTCAAAATCCTGGGTATATTTTTTTTTATCTAAACTTGGAGCTAACTGAACTTTGGGTTTCCTCACCACTCTGGAGACCCAGCAGTCTGGAGAAGCTGCTCCAGGATGGAGTGAATCACACCCAGCAATCGAGGAGCCAGTACCTGAGAGTTCTCACCAGCCTCCCTGGGTGAGGCCACATGGTCACATCTACCAGCACAAGTCTGTGGCCAGGAACCAAAAATCCAGAAGGCATTTGCAGGTTTAAGCTATAAGCCTCAAACTGGGCTACTTTTTAATAAGGTTCTAAAGAATCTGATTAAGTTTTGTTTGATTGTATCAGATTTTTAGCTTTGTGGCTGTGGGATTTCTTCAAGGACTTTTTCTACTAGTTTCTAGTCACACCCCTGGCTCCTAACTTAAATATTTTATTGTTTTCTTTATTTCCCAAGGAAACATGGTCCACATAGCACTTTCTATAAAATATTACGATCCGAGAACTGCCCTAAGCAGTGGGAAGGAACTGTCTTACCTTAAAATTGCACAAAGTAAACTTGAGTGTAAACAACATTTGCAAGTAATCTGTCCTCAATGCAAAGGCTCTATGATCTCCCAGAAAATCCTTTCTGGCCACCATACTTTAAAGCAGTTCTAATTACATTCATCATCATCAGTCTCAACACACAGTCACACTGCAAATGACACTACACCCAACTCGGCTTCCCTGTACCTTCCTACTCTCTCAATGCCTCTTTCTGGATCAGACTTCCTGACACTGTGGAAGAAGCCTGCTTTCTCTCGAGGTGGCGTTTTCCAGAGTTTTCGAAAATCTTCTGCCTATGAAGAAAAAACATGTTGAGACCTATGTGGCCAGTGTAGCTCACCCAGGATGCTCAGCCACCAGTGCCATGGCATCTATACTGATCCCACAGCCATGGGGCCCAGAATCCCAAACAGGAGGCCCCACCCTCAGGACAGCAAGCATCACAGAGCTGCCACCCCAAGTGGCACATACGCCTTTCTTCCTATCACATAAGAAAGTATGTGTTGCTTTCTCTTGAGCCACCCAAGTTTTATGCTGAATGCAGCTTATCTAATCCTAATTGTCCCACCAAATTTTGGAGCCATTTCAGTAGTGGCAAATAACTCGTCATTTAGAGAAAAAACTATTTTTTTCCTGTTTTGAGACAAGGTCTCAGAAGTTGCCCAGGCTGACCTCACATTTGAGATTTTCCTGCCTCATCCTCCCAAGCAGCTGGGATTATAGGTGCATGCCACTGTGCCTTGCTCATTCCACAATTGTCTACCAAGCCATGATATATGTCAGAGTACAAAACAGTTCAGAAGGAACTGTTAGTTATCAACTGGGCATAACAACATGTATAACCTCTGACCCCACACCTCCACTATTTGGGACCCACATGAACTTCAAGAATGAGCAGAGCCCAAAGGTGAGGCCTGGGGACAAAGCGGAGCCTCCAGGGAAGGCAGCTGATGCCAGGAATGTCTGGGAAGAGGTGCAGGGGCTGCAGGCATGGGGAGCTGGGTCCAGAAGGGACCTCACTAGGCTGGACACAGTTTGGACAGGACAGGCACACAGAGCAAGGGAGAGCCAGGTATTGACTTCTCAGGCTCCTGCACGCCCAGCCCACATGAGCAGCATGGCATGTTCCGCAGCCTCAGCACCACCCTTGGTACAACTGACTGCAGGCCATAGGACTTGGTCTCTAAGAGCAGGCTGTGTGGGGACACCGGGGTGGCTGAGAAGATCCCAGAGCTCACCTTGGCTGGACTCAGGGGCCCCGCGAAGGCCCTCAGGGTCAGCACAGGGTCGCGGGGATTGGCTCCACAGCAGCTACCAGGCGAGGCCTCAGCTGTCTGGTCTGAGGACCACAGCTCCCCAATGACAGGAGAGGAGGTGTCATCTGCTCTCAGAAGCGGCACGTAGTAGTGACCTGGGAGAAAGACGGATCAGCAGCAGTCTCTGGCTCCTGCTCCCTGGCTGTCTCCAGGGCTGGTGAATGATAAGGGAAATGTCAGAGGAACCAGGTAGTCTTGTGCAGTCTGGGCTGGGACCAGAGCCAAGACAGGTTTGGGCCCCACTTAACTCTGAGCGCACCCTCCTCCTCCACTAAAAGAAGTGGAAAGGAGTCAGGCATGTGGCGTACACTCTCATCTCGGAACTTGGGAGGCCAACACAGGAAGATTATAAGTTCCAGCCCAGTCTGAGCAACTTAGTAAGACCCTCTCTCAAAAAATAAAAAGAGGGCCAGGGATGTAGCTCAGTGCAAAGGCCCTGGATTTAATCCCCAGTCCTTACATCCCTAACAGGGTGTGGTGGGAAGGGAAGCAGAAGGTATGCCAGGAAGATGGAAGATTGAAGCAGGAGGGAAACAAGACTGGCACACAGCAGAGCTTATATGAGCACAGTTAATAGGTTGCACGCACCCCTCTTCCCAGCCCACCCTAACCCTAACTCAAGGCAGAGGCCTGGAGACTCCCCAACTCACCCTGTAAATATTCTCTGATCCTCTCTTTTAGTTCTACAGGTTTACTTTTGTTTCTTTCACAAATTACCTATTACAAGAAAACACAGGATGTGAGAACTTCAAATCTTATTTTATTGCAGGTTTTTTTTTTTTTTTTGAGACAGGTCTTGCTCTGTAGTTCAGGCTGGACTTGAACTCACTATGGAGTCCAGGCTGGCCTCCAATTTGTGGGGATCCTCCTGCCTCAGTCCCTCAAGTACTGGGATTATAGGCATGCACCACCACACCTGACAACTAAGTAGCATTTTTTTTTGTTTTCTTTTTTTTTTTTTAAATTTTATTTTAAAGAGCTAAGTAGCATTTTATACTGAAAAAATACACACAAAACATACACACAAGCTGGACGTGCTAGTGCACGCCTGTAATCCCAGCTTTGCAGGGTAGGCTGAAACAGGAGGATCAAAAGTTTGAGGCCAGCTTGGACAATTTAGTAACTCAGTGATACCTTGTCTCAAAACAAAAGCAAATGTCACTCAGTGCAAAGCCCGAGTTCAATCCCCAGTCCTGGAAAAACAAAGTTGAGTTATATACATGCAAAATAATTTTCAGCTATAAAATTTTCTTCTTAGGCCGGGTATGGTGGCACACACCTGTAATCCTAGCACTCGGGAGGCTGAGGCAGAAGGATCGTTGGGAGTTCAAGACCAGCTTGGGCTACAAAGCGAGCCCAAGGCCAGCCTGAACTGCATAGTGAGACCCTGTTTCAAAAAGACAGAAAAAAAAAATCCTTCTTCTTCAGCTTTTAGTTAATTAATTAATTTATTTATTTATGTTGCTGTTGTCACTGTTGTTTTTTTTTGAGAAAGTCATGTTATATAGTCCATTCTGGTCTAGCATTGCCTAAGTTTCCCAGGCTGGGCTCAGAATTGAATGCTGGGAAAACAGGCATGATCCCAGTTCTCTTTCATTTCAGTGGGCTTCACTGATGTAACAACAGCAGATGCAAAGGAGCCCCACGGGGCTTCACGGTCTTTCCAGGTTTCAATTCTGAGGGCTGCTAAGTTCAGGTCATGTGACAAGTACAGTGCCTGGTCCTCAAAGTAGTCTTTAAGTTATCCTGTATACAGTTTTCTCTTGCACATCTCAGGTTGCTCAACTGCTATGGATCATGAAGAGGCTTTCTTCACAAGGTTGATGGTCATGTGAGAATCAGGACAATGGGCTTGGCACAGTACCTGGTATATACTGAGTTGAACACAAGAGCTGCATTGAGAATCCTCACCATCATCATCACCACCAGCACCATCATCATTATTGCGTCACCACCACCATCACCATCACTGCCATCACTATCATCACCATCATTATCACCTTCACCACCACCATTACTACCACCATCATCAATAGCTCTGTTCTCTCTGAACCTGGTCAGCTGAGGTATTCAGAGAGAAAATGATGAAAGACTGAGCTGTTCAGAACAACTGACCACCAGTTTCAGGAAAATGAAATCAGCAAACCGGGTCAGCTCCTTCCCTGGAGCTGGACAGACTCTGCCTTCACCTCTTCCCAGCGACCAGAGCTCTGCAGCACAATTCAAAGAGACCCAGTGCTAACCTTCCTGCAGCTATGAACATAGGCTACACATCTGCATATTTTTGTTTCTAACACTAGACAGTAATCACATTTAATAGTGATTTCTAACACTAGAGAGTAATCAATTACTGTACTTACCTCTTCGGGTGTTTTGTTATATTTATTCTTTGGTTTTTTCTCAATCAAAGGGTGTGAAGAAAGCACGTTGACCACATCCACATTCCCAAACTTACAAGCAAAATGCAGCGGTGTGTCATACCCCTAGAACAGGCACAGAGGAAGCACAACTGTCAGTCAGCTTGTTTACATTCAACTGGATGCAGAGATGCACACCTCTAATCCAGGCACTCAGGAGGCCACTTCGTGCAGACAAGACCAGCCTGAATTGCATAAGGAATTGAAAAAAAAAAACACAAAAAAATACACTCACATTCACACAACTGCTCTCTAAGGTGAAAATGGGTATTTCTTTAAAAGCCTCAACAAAAAAAGACTGCAAAAAGAACTGCTGTTACACTTGATACGTACCTGAGTGCCATCACTGTCCACTCTGTGCAGGACCCAGTATACTGCCCGCCCCCCCGACACTGGGGACCTGACTTATTGTATCCCGACACCAGGGACCTGGGCCTAGCCAGAGCCTCTGACTGAAGGTGCTCTGTAAACTGTAGCTTCTCTGTGTCATGGCCAGTACCATGTCATGTGACCAGCAGTGAGGTAAGTTTGGAAGGCACCATCCAGATTAAAACAAAGCTCATAGGGCCGAGGATGTAGCTCAGTGGTGCAAGCACCTGCCTGGCAAGCGCGAGGTCATGAGTTCGATTCCCAGTACCAAAAAAATAAATAAAATAAAACAAAGCTCATAGACCTTGTCTGGGCTCCTTGGAGCGTGGTGGTGAACACCACAGTACATGGGACACTCTGACCTCAGGCCACCATACCATGACATTTTCCAGTTGATACTCTCACATCCACTCATGCTAAGTAGCCCAGGGCTCCACAGCACCCCGTGCTCCCCACAGATATGACTTCCTTCCCTCTTCATCCTCAGATCACCTCCAGACCAGTGAATATATGGCACAGCGCCCCGAGCTTGAGATCTGCAGGGCCAGCACCCCCAGAACTCACCTCCACCTACCTGCTGGGAACTTGTTCCTGTTGTTCCCTCCAATGACCAGGGATGCCACACTCAAGCTCTTAATTCCTTCCAGCCCAGGGCACCAGACACTTGGAGCCCTGCAGCCTGCACCCATACCCATCTCCCAGGCCTCACTGGGACCCCACTGATCTGTGAGTAGCCAAGGTTCTCATGTCTGCCCATGTCGTGCTCCAGGACAGCACACCTACAGAGGCTGGTGGCTGCCACCCCAGGCTCCACTGCTCTGACTACACCTGCTCCTATTTTTAGGGGTGGCAGCTTCATCCATAATGGACTAGACTCAAGGATACCCAGTCTGGCCATGATTCAACTGGAGCTTAAAGCAGAGTGCCTGGAGACCAGACATCAGCAAGTGAACCCAGTTCTGCTCCAGGTACAGTTGAATCCTCCAGTTCACCTTCTACCTTGGACAACTGAGATGCCATGGTCCCTAATTTCACCAATACTCTGTCTACTCCCCAGTCCCTCTGCTGCATTGCAAGGACATAGTATGGCCATACACACACACACACACACACACACACACACACACACACACGCACTTCTGCCTGCCCCACAACCAACACCCCAGTCAGCTGGCTGCCCTTCACCCCTGCATCCACACAGGGGATGTCCCCCCACCCCTACCTCACACCTTGATTCTCCATAGGAACTGTCCCCACACCTCTACCTCACACCTTGATTCTCCACAGGAACTGTCCCCAATGTCCCATACCCCTTGCTCCTGTGCTCCCCATGTTCTGCTGTACCCCCAGCCCCACACCAATTCACATTCCTCACAGACCCCAAGATTTCTACAGGGCTAAGGTATTTTGTTAAACATTTTAATAACTTCTACCTTCAGGATTACAATAAATGAATGTGACCCAACACTTCTAATTTCATGTGCATTTGCCTTGCTGGGTACTGAACTCATGGCCTTCCACATACAAGATGACTGCTCTATCACTAAGCCAAATGCCCAGCACATCTAACAATTTCTTACTACTCTAATTCAAATACATATACATTTTCTGTGAATGCTACATGATGTTAAGAAATAAGCAGGTATTTCTTCTTTCTTTTTCTTTTAATTTTATTTGGTACCAGGAATCAAACTCATGACCTCGCACCTGCCAGGCAGGTGCTGTGCCACTGAGCGATATCCCTGGACCTAAGCAGGTATTTCTGTAGGGCTCACCGTTTTTTGTTTTGGTTTTTTTTAAATCACATCTATAAATACACACTTGCTGACTGTCCTAATCAAGCCTCATATCCTTGCTTACTCCAGCTGTTACCCTTTGAGTTACTGTTATTCCTACTTTGATCTGGTTCTTTCATTCCTGTTCTATGCTCACTGCTGCTCTCTGTAACCCTCTCTGATATGGGACATAGTTGTGCCTTCATGTCCTCGGGAGGTTGGTCCATGAGTCGTCACCTTCCCCAAGACACCAAAATCTCCAGATACTCATGGAAAATGGCGCAGTACTTCCCCATAACCGTATGTGTACATACATAACCTCTAGATTATTTAGATATAATCACACATAAGCATACACAACACACAACCTTCATACCTAAATTACCTCTGGGTTAATATCCCACAAATGCAATGCAAACACCATGTCAGCAGTTATTATACTGTGCTGTCTGGGGAATAAGAACAAGGAATAAAAAGCTTTCAATGTTCAGTGTAGACGTACTTTTTCCGGAATATTTTTGATCTATAGCTGGCTGAATCTGTGGTGATGGAACCCTGGATAGAGGGCTGACTGCTTATATTTAGCCTTCCCTGGTTCCAGTTTCCTAACTTAGAATTCCTAAAAATCTGACAAGGGCTAACTGTCTCACATGCTCATGCCTGCCCTCCCAAACCTGAGGCAGCTGCAAGATAGGGTGGGCCAGTTGCCTAGAAGTCAATCAATCATACTGGAGATGCTAATCAAGCCTATGTAATAAATCCTCCCTAAGAACCCACCACAGGGCTGGGGAGATAGCTCAGTGGCACAAGCACCTGCCTGGCAAGTGCAAGGTCCTGAGTTTGGGTCCTGGTACCAAAAAAAAAAGAAAAGAAAAAAGAACCCACCACAACACGTGAAGAGCTCCCCATCAGGGTGTAAAATCTGCACGTCCCTTTCCCAACCCTGGCCCTATGCATTCCTTCCTCTGTATCCTTTGTAAGAGGGGTTCTGTAAGCAAATTCACAAGGAGGGGTCACAGGAACCCTGATCTGCAGCTGACTGGTCACAGCACATGCCGTGGGTGGCATCTGAAGAGACAGTTAATCTTCTGGGACTTGACTACCCAGTGCTAGAATTTAACTGAATTACAGGACACCTAGCTGGTGTCTGCCACAGGACTGACTGCCCGCTTGGAGGAATGGAAACCACCAAATGTCTGACTGACATCAGAAAGGAGTTTAAGAATAGGGGAAGAACTACTTCTTCTCTTTATCATCATCATCAGACCCTTGCTTTCTCTTCCCTTTCAATGATTTTACTGGTTAGGACAAACTTCTCTGCTTTTCCCTTCTGTCTGTCTCTCTTTTTTTGAGAGAGGGTCTTACTATATATTCCAGGGTAGCCTTGAATTCCCAGCAATCCTCCTGCCTCAGCCTCCTGAGTGCTGGGATTACAACAGCACCACCATCCCCAGCCCGTTTTTTCCTCTTACATTATCCTTGTTTCTTAATTCTGTAAATCAGTATGTTATCTACAATGTACTATCAAGTAACAAAATTATTGCCCATTTTTTTTGATGTTGTTTGTTTTTTGTCTTGGTGGTACTGGGGATTGAACACAGGGCCTTTACACTGAGTTACATCCCCAACCATCATTTTATTCTTTTATTTTGAGATAGGGTCTCACTAAATTGCTACGTTACCCAGGCTGGACTGGAAGTTGCAAACCTCATGCCTCAGCCTCCTGAGTGCTGGGATTACAGGCGTGGTACACCCCCACACAGCACATGCTTCTCTCACATGCTCCTACTCATAACTCCCCAAACCTAGGTTTTGCTGAGAATTCAAAGACCTTGGCTCTATCATGTAAATAAATTCTTATATTTCAAGAACCCTTACTTAGGGGGCTGGGGATTTAGCTCAGCGGCAAAAGCGCCTGCCTGGCAAGCGCAAGGTCGTGAGTTCGGTTCCCGGTCCCGGAGAAAAACCAAAAAACCAAAAAAAAAAAAAAAAAAAAGAACCCTTACTTAAGTCTTATGCATGCATTAAAAGTCATGCTTTTGAGCTGCACAGTGGCGACCACCTATAATCTTCAAGTAATCCCAGCTACTTGGGAGGCCAAGGCAGGAGGACTTCAAGTTTGAGCCCGGCCTGAGCATCTTATTGAGACCTGTCTCAAAATAAAATTTATTTATTTACTTTTTGTTCTTTTTGGGTTTTTTTGTTTTGTTTTGTTTTTTTCCGGTACTGGGAATCGAACTCAATTCCCAGCCCTATTTTTTGTTCTTTTTGAGGTGGAGTCTTATCACTACATAGCACAGGCCAGCCTTGAACTTCCAGTGATCCCTCCTGCTCCAGCCTCCCAAGTGCTGGGATTACAGGTGTGTGCCACTGTGCCCAATTCTCAAAATAAAATTTAGGGCTGGGGATTTAGCTCAGCGGCAAGCACCTGCCTAGCAAGCGCAAGTTCGATTCCTGGTGAGTTCAATTCCCAGTACCGGAAAAAAAACAAACAAACAACAACAACAAAAAAAAAATAAAATTTAAAAAAGACTGAGGATGTAGCCTAATGCTCCCTGAACACGACCCAGAGTGGGTAAGAACATGTCTGAGACTGAGGCTCTTCATTTCTGTCTTAATGACAGATGGTCTGTGCTTGTCCAAATCAGAAACAATAAACAAAGAGGGAGTGAAGAGCTACAAAATTTCCCCCTTTTATAAAAGGTCCCAGTACCACAAAGTAAGTAAATAAAAATAAACTCACAGGAAATATTCCTAATGACAACTTTGGTAAAATAATACATTAAGGATATAAAAAGACTTAAATAAAGGACAGCAGAACTTTTTCTACTGCACTTTTTTTTTCTACCTCACTTTCTTTTTGTCTTTTTGAGGCAGGGTCTCACTATGCAGTTCAGGCTGGCCTTGAGCTCACTCTGTAGCTCAGGCTGGTCTCCAACTCTCGACGATCCTCTTGCCTCAGCCTCCCAAGTGCTGGGATTACAGGTGTGCAGCACCACACCCGGCTATACCTCACTTTCTACACCTTTCAGCATTTGCTTGCCTGTCACACTGAGCCTGTGCCCCCCTGACAAGGCTTGGTTCCCTGTAGAGCACCTGAAGCCATCAGTGGCCTTGCATTCTGCTGGTTTACACTCTCCATGTCAACACATCTGCTTCTGCTCCTGACTGTCCACACACCTTCCACACAGAGGCAGCATGGAAACCAAGAACACCTCCACTCCCAGGGATGCCAGGCTCCCTCCACAGCTGCAGGGCACACTCACCACCTTGTCAGGAGTGTTCAGATACAGGTCCACAAGGTAGCGGATGCGCTTCTGCAGCATGTCCATATCATCATCTGGGTACATAAGCTGCATGAACTCAGGGTTTTCCAAAGTCTCCAGTGTTAGCTGGCAGATAGATGCCTGATTCTCCTTGGCAGCAACATGCATGACATTGTACCTACATCCTTCCTGGAAGAAAACCCTGTTCTGAGTTCCGGTTTCATGAGTGCACAGCAGCATAATGTACTGGAGGTAGGCTCACCTGTACAATAGTTGGAGTGTCCCCTGAGCCAATCAGGTACCGGGGGTTGCTCCAGATGAGGTCAGAGAAGGTCTTTTCTTCTCCCTGCTCCACAGCTTTTCGCAGCTTAGCAGTGAGGTCCTGTGTGCGGGGGCTTTTGTAACTGTTTGCTCCCTCTTTGTTTATTGTTTCTGATTCAGAGAAGCACAAACCATCTGTTGTCAAGAGAGAAACGAACACTCAGCCTCAGAGACATCTTGCCCACTCTTAGTCATACTGAGGGGTGAGCTCACCTTGGCCCAGCACCCCTTGGCAGTGAAGGTGATAGAGGGTGACAGTGGAGACACATAGCCACACATCCTGCCAACACAGCAGGGCCCACATACCACAAGACACCATCAGACCCTGATGGACTCCTGCCAGGAGAGCTTCTGAACAGCGGGCACTTAATGTTTCAGAAAGTAAGTCAGTTGTGCATGGTGGCACATACCTGTAATCCCAGCACTCTGGGAAGCTGAATTAGGAGGACTGCACATTTGACATCATCCCGGGCAATTTAATGACGCCTTTTCTCAGTTAAAAAGGGGAGTGGTGCTGGGGATACAGCTTAGAAAGAAGACCCTGGGTTCAATTTATAGCTCCCCCCCCACACACCCAAAAAAAGAAAGAAGGAGGGAAGGAAGGAAGAAGGAAAGAAGCTCAGTCAATTTTGGTGGGCAAGGGATCAGTCACACTTGAGGTGTCTTTATATTCAAGTATTCCAGTCATCCTCATGCCACACATTTCCATGGAACAGGAGCCTGCACTGAGCTGGGCAGTGCACGCAACGGGATTTCTGGTTCTCACAGGTGCTTAGCTCCAGCAGGTCTGGAAGGAGGTACAGCTTCAGATGGGGAGGAGACTGCTCTTAGCATCAAAAAGACCTTGACCCCAGCAGGTGGTAGGGGAGATAAGGTGCCAGGAAGGGGCTGGTTATTCCACCTTCCTCTGCTCTTCACCTCCATCCTCCTGTCCCCGACACTCTCCAGACCAAGCTTTCAACCCTTCCCCTCGGCTGTCCCACCACTATGTCTTGCCATACCAGATTCCCCACAGGGAGAAAGCAAGTCAGTCATCATCAAAACAGAGGAGACAAGGTACTTCAGAGTAAGTACAACTATAACACCAAAAGGGAGCTGCCACCTGGTTTACCTTTCCACCCACCACTGCTGAAAAGTGGAGCCACTTTTACAGGGGACAGAGGGGACGAGGCTCTGCTCGGAGAAGGAAAATAATCACAAATTCCTCTAGCAAATTTTTCAGCATCTTCTCTGGTTGGAAAAGCTTTAAACCGGGATCCTTTGATCATTTTGACAGCTTGCAGTGCTTCCTTTTTATCTTCATAAACATGGATTCTTTCTGGGTGGGAAAAGTAACAAAGAAAAGTCAGAGATGAGTAAATGGAACCCCAGTCACTTAACTACACCCAGGGTTTAACAGTCAACCAAAACAGTCATTACTCAAAAACCTGACTTTATTCTTATATGGTAATTCAGATTTTTAGTCTTGAAGAGGACCTGAGCCAAAAGAACCCAGTTACTAAGTCTGACCACGTAGAGGTGTGTGTGCAGAAATGTGACACTGTGTACTTCTACGTAATGCCAATCCCAACAGAATATACCATACTAAGAAAGAAATCAGTCATGGATTGAAGATCTAATAAAAATCAATTTAGCCAGGCATGGTAGCACATGCCTGTAATCCCAGCACTCAGGAGGCTGAGGCAGGAGGACTGCTGCAAGCTCAAGACCAGTCTGGGCTACAAAGTGAGCTCAAGGCCTGAACTACATAGCGAGACCGTCTCAAAATAAATAAATAAATAAATAAATAAAAATAAAAATAAAAATAAAAATAAAAGTAAAAAATATCCCAGCACTCGGTAGGCTGAGGCAAGAGGATCACTATGAGTTGAGGCCAGCCTGGGCTACATAGCAAGATCCTGTTTTTAAAAAAAAGCAATTTAAAAAGTAAGTTCAAAAACTTTTAAAACACTGGCGAAGAATTTTAAGCATAATTTTGGATGGGGTGTGCCTTTCCAAGCATGTTCAGGCATATCCATAAAAGGATGTCTATTAATAAAGCCATAAAGGAAGAAGGCATTCTGATTATATAAAAATATCAACACCTTATAGGGGAATCACAATCAAGTTTGTACGGGACTATTACTAATAGTACAAATGATGGAATAGTGACTATCTACTGCTTGATAAAAATGGTCCATGTACATGACAAGCCATCATCAAATACAGACTGATCAGAGGAGAAAGGCAAGCAGCCTAAAACCATACTGAGAATTCCGGCAGACACCATGGGAAGTGCAGTAGCACACGGTGCAGCTGATCTAACATTGCCAATTTTCCCTTTCTGGATAGAATGCAACGCAGTTTGGAAGGGGAATTTTCGAAGTTTCACAAATACATTCCTTTTGAGCCTGCACTTCTATGTACTACTTTTATAGAAATACAAAAGTGCATCTGTATGTACACTTCAGTAAATTAAAAAATATAGTTATACCCAGCTATAGCTCCTCTGGGTATCTTCCCAGAACAGTTAAAGAGATCACATCACAGTGATCCATGCACACCCATGTTTATAGCAGCACAACTCACAACAGCTGAACCTTGGAAGCAGCCTACATTGTACATACAATGAAGTGCTACTCTACCATAAAAAAGGATACAAAAATAGATGCACCTTGAGACCATAATGTTAAGTAAATCAGACACACAAGCTTAAATATTGCATGGTTTCTCTTATATAAGAAACCCAATTGCAGTCAAGCATGATGGCTCATGCCTATAATCCCAACACTTGGGAGGCTGAAGCAGGAGGATAGGGTTAGAGTTTGAGGCCTGCTTGCGCTATATAGCAAGACTGCCTCAAAAAAACAAAAAAGAAAGAAGAAACCCAATATATGAAGTACAAAATAACATACAGACAATAGGAAGAAAAAGAGAGAAGAAAGTTATTATAATCCAGCATAGTCAATGTATCTAAAAGTGTACCTTGATTTACTATAATTGTTTTAGGTGTTTTATATTTTTTGGCCTATTAGTCTGGCTGTTAATCTGTGTTTATGATAATTAATATGACTTGTAAAATAAATAAATGAATCTGGTGCTGGCAAAAAAGGGATGGGATACACTACGTACATATACCAATTCCCCACAGTGAATGTAACTATTATGCACTGCAAACATGGACTTTGAAAATGTTGGATTTTTCTTTTTCTTTTTTTTTCTGTCTTTTGGAGACAGAGTCTCGATGCAGTTCAAGCTGGCCTTGAGCTCACTTTGTAGCCCAGGCTGGCCTCGAACTTGCAACGATCCTCCTGCCTCAGCCTCCCAAGTGCTGGGATTACAGGTGTGCACCACCATGCCCGGCTGGATTTGGATTTAAAATAAATTTTATTATTCCCTGACCAAGGGTGGTAGTGCATGAGATTAATCCCAGCACTTGGCAGGCTAAGGCAAAAGGACTGCCACAAGCTCAAGGCCAGCCTAAACTACCAGCAAGACCCTGTCTTAAAAAAAATTCCTATTCTTGATCCTGAAAGTTATGCGTTCACTGCCCATTACATTCATTAACCCATGGCATTCAGTCTAAAATGAACCAAAAGGGGGGCTAATCCAAGTCCCAAAGGCCTATGCCACCACCCAGCCAGTATTTGTGAGTGGGGCAAAACCCATAGAGCTCAGATGCTCAACAATTTTAAATTTCCTCATAGATTTACAGAAAACACAGGAAGGCAGCCAATGCCAATAATGGTTAATCTGTGTGTGTGTGTGTATGTGTATACGTATGTGGCACTGCAGTTGAACCAGGGCCTTCATGTAGTGTGTGTGTGTGTGTATGTGTATACGTACGTGGCTCTGCAGTTGAACCAGGGCCTTCATGTAGTGTGTGTGTGTGTGTGTGTGTGTGTGTGTACACGTACGTGGCACTGCAGTTGAACCAGGGCCTTCATGTAGTGTGTGTGTGTGTGTGTGTACACGTACGTGGCACTGCAGTTGAACCAGGGCCTCCATGTAGTGTGTGTGTGTGTGTGTGTGTGT